CTATGTGTTTTAAAAAATGACAGATAAGCACATAATTGACTTGGCAAGATTCTCATCAAAATGATTTCACAAATTCGGGACACGGCTCAGTGTTAGAACACTTGCCTACTATGCAGAAGGTCCTGGGTTTGATCCCCAGCACCAAAAAAAAAAGCAGCAAAACAAACAAAAATTGATTTAGTATCACATATACTTTACATGTTAGATGTCCAAACTTTAATTAACTGCAAAACTATTACTGGGCTGGGACTATACCTCAGACATAGAACAAATGCTTAGCACGTGTAAGGCCCTAGGTTCAATTCCCAACACCACAGAAAAAGAAAAAGAAGGGGAAAAAAAATGTGCTACCAAGATTTTGTTACACGTAATGTATAAATGAACCTATCATTTTTTCTAATAATCATTGTAAAATATGCATTTTGAACAAAATAACCAAAAATTTAAATATAATGGACTATTAACAGCATCAAGTTCTTTCTTTTTTTAAAATTTTTTTTGAGTCCAAGGATACTCTACTACTAAGAGACACCCCCAGCCCTTTTAATTATTATTATTATTATTATTACTATTTCCTTTTTTTTTTTTTTAAGATACATTCTCACTAAATTGCTAAGGCTAGGCTTAATCCTTTTGTTTCAGCCTCCCAAATCACTAGGATTGCAGTTATAAGCCACCTTGCCTAGCCCTCGGTTTCTTAATAGCTGAAACAAGATGTTTTGGTATCCCACATTGCTTAAGTTTTTTATATCTACCAAAGAAACAGAGACATGTGCCATGGAAATCCCTTTTCACTTGAATTTTCTCCCTACATTTGGAAGGAAGTAAAAAGTGAGAAACATCTGTACTTTCCTTCAGAGCTGACAACTCTCATCCTATGGTTTAAAAATAGAAGTTATTTATGAAAGGCTACAGATAAAATGATCAGCTGCTTCAAAAGCAGCTGGCAATTAAATGATCCAAATTCATGCACAACCAAAGTCAAATAACTCTTTCCCTAAGGACAATCCTAGCTGCCCAAACTCCTGGTAATTTCCAATACACCCATGAAATAGCAGAGGACGGTAAAGAAGCAAATGTAATGGCAGATAACAAGAGTCAACAGCTGAGAAACAGAGGCTTGTATCAATCTGGATTCCCTCTACCACCAGACCAACAGTGAGAGTTTCCATAAAAGTTGCCTCAAGAAAATCTGATTCACTTTGGCCAACAATCATCTTTCACCCAGCCCAAGGAAGAACAGATGTTCAACCATTAAAGGGGTATACGTTATTATCAACAGAAACCAGAAAACCTCATCAGTGAAGGCCTTAGAGTCTACAACAATTTTTTAACAGTTTTTACTCTATTGTCTTACAGTGCTGAATGTCAAATGCAAGTAATGAGAAAGTGCACCCATACACAAATCAGTAGACTCAGCTTCTGTCTCTAGCTATGCTGCTAATGAGTCTGACCTTGAGAAAGTTATTTCACCTTTTTTTCTACCTCCATTTCCTACCAGTCATAAGGTTAGGTTAAACCCACTGATTTCTTTTCTTTTTTTCCTAAACAAGGCAGAGAGAAGATTAATTGAAGTTGCTATACAAAAACATATCTGCTTGTCACTGCATCTATATCTAATCATCAAATATTAAGTAGGCAATGTCCACATAAAAACAACTAACTCTTGTTTGTTATTTTTTTGGTACTGGGAATTGAACCCAGAGTCCCTCTACTACAGAGCTACATCCCCAGCCCTTTTATTTATTTCTATTTTAATACAGGGCCCCACTAAGTGCTGAGCCTGGTCTTGAATGTGTGATCTTCCTGCCTCAACCTCCTCAGGAGCTGGGTTTATATGTGTAGGCCATCACACTCAGCAAAATGACTTTACTTTTACTCTACAAGTTAAAGAAAAACAAACAAAAATGCCTGCCTGGAGACATCAAAAGGACCCAGGTGCTACCTAAATAAAGCTCTTTTTTTTTTTAAATTAATTTTTTAAAAAAATTCTAATTAGTTATACATGACAGTAGAATGCATTTTGATACTTTGTACACAAATGGAACATAACTTCTCATTCCTCTGGCTGTACATGGTGCTGAGTCACACCAGTAGTATAATTATACATGTACATAGGGTAATAATGTCTGTCTCATTCTATGGTCCTTCCCATCCCCAGTGCTCCACCCCTCCCGCCATTCCCCTGTGCACAATCCAAATTTCCTTCATTTTTCCCTACCCCGCCCCCACACTGTGGATCAGCATCCCCTTCTCAGAGAAAACTTCAGCTTTTGGTTTTTTGAGATTGGTTTATTTCACCTAACATGATATTCTCTAGTTGCATCCATTTTACCTGCAAATGGAAACACAGCTCTTTTGAGAGTCCCAAATTTCGGGCTGGGGATGTGGCTCAAGCGGTAGCGCGCTCACCTGGCATGCGTGCGACCCCGTTTCGATCCTTAGCACCACATACAAACAAAGATGTTGTGTCTGCCAAAAACTGAAAAATAAATATCGAAATTCTCTCTCTCTCTCTCTCTCTCTCTCTCTCTCTCTCCTCTTAAAAAAAAAAAAAAGAGAGAGTCCCAAATTTCAAATCTGAAAATACTGCCTAGCAAATTAAAATGATACACAGTTCCAAGAATATACTTCTTTTTTAAGAAAAATAAAAACTTCAATGTATTTCAGGTCCTATGTCTCAGAACTCTGTTCAATACCTCTGACAATACCTTTTCTTACACTTTGCCAAGGAGATAAGCCACTGAATTCTTGATGTTTCCAGGATAGTATCCTGCATATAGACAGATAGGTAGGTAAGTAGATAGATAATAGACAGATTCCTGTGCACTGTCCTTTTTTTTCAATAATGGAGATGGAACCCAAGGCCTTGCCTATGCTACACAAGAGCTTTAACAATGAGCTCCTGCCCCAGCCCTCTGCATTTTAAGAGCTTTCTCTTCACTCAGTGAAACTTTGAAAGGCAGAACCATGATTGTGTTGGGGATGCAAGGCAGTGTTAAAACTTTTGGCTAGCATGCATGAAGTACTGGATTGGATACTTATCACTAAAACAACAAAACAACAACAAAAGCGTAGCCTGGCACAATGTGGCTGCCCAGTATGTATGTATATATGTGTGTGTATGATATATATATATATATATCTGTGTGTGTATGCATACATGCATATACAGATGTGTCTATAGGCATATATATGCTAAATGAATGAAACAAATTCTTATGCTAGTAGGAATAGCTATCACTAATATTAATTATTGATAATCTTTTTTTAGTAAAAATATTTAATTGGTTCTTTTTAGTTATACATGACAGTAGAATTCACTTTGATACAATTACAAATGTATGGAATATATCTTAATTATGGTGAATAATTTTTGTTTTTAGAAAACTATATAAATGAATGCTATCTAAGGAGAAAATACATGATTTCTCACCAATATCAACTCCAAAAAATTGGGCTGATGATGTAGCTCAAAGGGTAGAATATTTGCTAGCATGCACAAGGCCTTGGATTTTACCCATAGCACTGTAAAAAAATAAATGAATTAATAAAAATTAACTCAAGAACTTTCCAATCCTTTTCCATCAAGTTTTCTTTATTCTTTTCTTTTCTTTTCTTTTGTTGTGTGTGTTTGTGTTGCTTTTTTTTTTGTCTCATTTTGGTTTTTATAATTAATCTAGTTGGTTTAAGACTACAGACATTCCTATTTACTGAATCTAAAATAAAGAGAAGAAAGGAAAAAAAACAAAAAGCATGTACTTTTGAGTTCTGTAAATGCAAAATAAAATATAGCCCATAGATGAAAATGAAAATGTCGTCCAATAAAAATAGCTACCACAAAAATAACAGCATCTAACCAGCTAAGTGTAAGCTGTCTTCATTGAGAAATTTCACCAAAGTAATTTCTATAAATGATGTATTTATTAAAATAATTGAACATAAAAATTTTAAAGTGCCTTTCAAATTTTAGTCATTCAAATATTTATCACAAACCTACCAGCACTGACATAAATTTTCATATTTTTCCCCTATTCTTTCAATTCTAACACTATTTCATTCAAAAAATTAAGAGTAGATGTTAAGTAAACAGGAAACAAACTGACAGTGAACCTTAAGGTAAGGCCTTGGAACCAATAAGCCTATAGCAAAGGATAAACTCATTCTGCTATTTGATTGGGTGTTTTCCCACAATAAACTGATCCTTCCACTGTGCATTCTATGTGTGAGTCTATAACAAATGGCTAAGGAAGAGAACTATCACTTGAACATATCTGGATATGCTTTTGGTCTTCTGATCTTCCCCACTTCCAAGTTAGAGAAGTTCTGGCTGGGTCACGGAAAAGAAAGAAGTTACTCCTAATACTCTATTGTATATTCATTTTCCAATAGCATGTATCAGATTTTCTTGTCTTTGCAAGCAGTAGTGACTGTTTCACTTCACAAAATAGCCCTACCTAGATTGCTGTAAGATAGAAACGACATATTACATATATATGTAAATTCAGGTGTGTGGGTACTAGAGCAGTCAGAGATCACCTTTGGAAAGTACTGGAACAAATGTTTTGTGCCTCCAATACTGACCCTTGAGAAAGACCATGAAAAAAGTTGTTCTTTTAATGCTTTGGGAATGAAGAAGAAAAAGAATGATGGTTTAGCAAACAAGACACAAAAGGAATTTATCTGCCTACTGGGGTTCTGAACGTTAGGAAACAGCAGATATTTGGGAGAACTGAGCAGAGAAGCCCTTTCCTGAGATGATTTAGGTCAGACACAACTAAATTGTTCCCTTCGCCACCCTGAAATAAAATAAAATAAAATAAAAAACCAACAAGTATATATCCAAGGCAATCACTGAGGGATGAGCAGGGTTGAAAAGGATTCACTAGGAAGAGACTAGCAGGCCAGGGCCTTTCAGAACTGGGGAGGGCGGGTCACAGGGTAAGGCCCTGATTGGCAGGCGACCTGCCACCTGGAGACTAGCAGCAAGGCACGCTCACCTGTGAACACGTTCTGAAAGCCATCCGCAGTCCCCGGAGCTCCAGACACCTTGCCTGCTAGAGCAGGGGACAGGCCACCGCTACTGTTTGCAGCTGCGCCAGGCTCCAGAAGGTGCGCAGAGCCTCCTGCCGCCGGGGTACCGGCACCCAGCTCCTGAGTCCAGTCGGCTGAGCGGCTGAGGCCGCCTGCGAGGCTGCCTTCGGTCCGGTGCTTCTTGGCTGGGGCGACTGCTGAGACCAGGGCGGTTCTGGGGCCCCGGCTCAAGGAGGGCTCCAGTCGTCTCTTAATCCTGGGGCTCTGGCTGGGGGACTGAGACGGGGAGTGATTGGGTGAGCTGAGCTGCCGGGTGGTGGTCTTGATGTAACAGGGGGTAATGAGTGGGTAGGGCTTGAAGCAGCGCGGGCTGGGTGCGGGGCTACTGGGCAGAGAGGTGGCTGCTGCGGGGACCCTGGCCCCGTGCGTCTGCTCCTCTGGCTCTTCATCCAGACTCTGCGTGACCTCTCCCACCTCTGGGCCCCACTCTTCCCCTGGAGAGCCTCGGGGAGCATCCTCAAAAGCATCCTCCTCTGCTTCCTCGTCTGTGTCTTCAGCTTCTCTTACGGAGGCTGGTACTGCGCCCTCCTCCGTCCTGGCCTCGGGAAATGGGAAGGCGGTGGAGGAAGGCGAGTCTGCTACTGCAGACTGGGCCGGCGGTAAACTGGGGGCCTCCGAGGCAAGGAGGCCCTTGGGGGATGGCGGCTGCTCTGGCACCCGGGACGTGGTGGTCTGGCTTTCAGGAAGGTCAGAGGGTGCGGATAGTGCCTGCTCTGTGTCGGGACTGCCTCGGGCCTCCTCAGCCCCTCCGCTCGGTCCCAGCAGAAACCCGTGGAGGCCCAGGAAGGCCCCGGGTTGAGGGAAGGCGGCAGCGGGGGGCGCTGCAGGCTCCTCGGAGTTCTGCTGTTGCTGCTGCTGCTGCTGCTGCTGCTGCTGCTGCTGCTGCAGGCGAATCGCCTGCTGGATGTCTGAGAGCAAATCCTCTTGCTCCGCAGCCGAATGGAAGCTATAGATGTCCGTGTCCGAGCCCGAACTGGTCCTTTGTCCATCCTGCGCCCCTACCACAGTTTCCAAATCCTCAGCGACGGCCTGGACCCCTAACCCAGCCTCTGCAGGCCTAGGACCACCTGGAAGGGTTATCTCAAAAGGGTCCGCACACTCAGTATCCGACAGGCCCGTCTCATCAGCAGACAGGCTGAGGTCCGGGGTCTTGGTGACCAGGGAATGAGCGCTGTCCAGCTCCCCGGTCTGCAGGGCCTGAGAGTCCAACACATCCTCCCGGGAGCCGCCAGAACCTTTCCCTTTGGAGAGGTTCTTCCTAATCCGCAGGTTGGAAAACACGGAGGGTCTGGAGTCCGACTTGCTCTTCTTTTTGCTGGGTTCCCCGCCGCTGCCCCCTCCTCCCTTGCTGTGCTTGCCCAGAGCCTTCTTGCTCCCGCTCCCCTTCTTTGTAGCTTCCACATCCCTGGGCCCCACAGCATCCTCGGCGCCGCATCCACCGCCTTCGTGTAAGGCATCACCTGCGCTCCTCTTCAGCTTCGCATCCTGGTTCCCCATGTTGCAATGCCGCCGCTGTGCCGCTGCACCTTGGGTACTCAGGCCATTTCGGCCCTTCTCGGCTCCTGGGCCGGGCCAGGGGAGTCTTCAGGGCACGTTAGGCAGCTGGGCGAGCCGCTGGGAGAAGAGGCCAACAAGCCCCCGGCTGGCCCCGCTGACATCTGCTGCGGCTTTGCATAATGCGCGGCAGCTCGGGTGGCTGCCTTCGCTGCGGTTGCGGCCCGGGCTGGCTGGGCGCGAACATGCTCAGTACAGCGCGCGGCGCCCGCCAATGGCTGTGCGGGACGCAGCTTGGGCCTGGCTCCCCGCCCGCTGCTGCCGCCCCCTTGGCCCCCTCTTGGCTCTTCGTTGAACCCGAGCGCGAAAAACGTTTCCTCTATCCTGGGGACTTTGATTTCCACGGTGCTTACAGGATGCTTTGCCGCCCCCCACCCCTTCGAATAGTTCGTGGATTGGAACATACACACGAACTTCAAAGCTCTCGAACCTTCAATGAAAAAAAGTTAAATAGAAAAGAAGAAAATTTCACACAGGAAAAAACGGAAGCCCTGTTCCAATTTAAAGGTACCATAATATCTCTGTCACACAACCCTTAAACTGAATCTGCCTGCTTCTATATGGATCTTAAGTAAATATTTGCTGAATGAATGGATTGCTGTTTTTTGAATAATTGATTATCTCCTTGAACACTTTAATGTGCTCGAGCATATGGCTTAGGAAAGGTTACTATACATGATGCTGCACATATGTTTTATACAGAACTTGTCCAGAACAGGACATTAGCTGTCATTTCCAAAGTTGGCATTTCAAACTGCTTTAGACAAAGAAGAGGTGGGTGAAGCAGGAAATACTGAGATTAGAGCTGATTAAAATGCTAATCTCCAAAATTCTATGTTTACCATATAAATTAAACAGCATTTGTATTCCAAAAGGGTACATATACTATAACTCCCAGGAGGTCAATCTCATCAATATTAAACATGTCACTATTGTGGTCTCCTACCAAAAGGAAACACCCTTGGCATAAATATGTGAAATCAGATATTACTATATAAACCACTATTTTCCCAAGCAAGTCGTCCCAGGTACACTTTGTTCTGTACCAGGACTTCTTAACATTCTGGCCTCAATATTAGTATAAAAACTTTTCCTCATTGTAAATTTGTCATTACTTTAATTACTTACTACAGTTGGCTAACTTTGTTTTAAAATATTTTAAAACACCATTGGTAGTGAAAGAAGTTCCAAGCAGTAAACTGAGATTAAAGTGTCATTAATCAATAATGTTATAAGTATTTAAGTTAGAAATTCTATGTTAACTACTTTGAAAATATGGACTAGTAAACACAGAGGAGGGAAAAGTAGAACGTGTTCTATGATCCATTTTAAATGCAGCAAGCAAATATATAGTCCTTTCTTGCATAGTATGAACCAACATTTTTTTAAAGTGTCTCCTTTAACATCTTTATAAAGAAAAAGAAAGATGGAAAAGCATATACATCAATTAGTACTATCCGTTTTCAAACTATAATCTTAAAAAATAAATGTAACTTCAGGGCAGGTAGCCAGTTGTCCTTAGCTGGCCCTTTTGAGCAAATGGTTTGGAGAAATCAACTTTAATAACTTTGCCAGGGTAATATTCCAGTCTCTAAGCAATTCCGGAATGCTTGAAAAGCCTTTGTTTCACCTCTTTCACAAGACTGCTCTCTTCTTTTTTCTAGAATACAGGCTTCCCAGAGGGCACAATTTGCCTGTAGATATTAGAATTTTCTACTTCTTTGCCAAAGTACTTAGAAATCTTTATTTTTTGCTCTTTCTTTAACAGATCATCTTTGATTCTAAATTATTTGTTCCCTTACTATTTTCTTCTGTGATGTATTCTAGAAGAAGACAAAAGGCAGGGAAGAATAGAGAATGGGAGGAAGGGAGATAGTGAGAAGGCTGCTGATTCTTTTTTTTTTTTCACATCCTTTGTGAGACAAAAGGCGGGAGTTGGGCTGCAGATCACCGTTGACAAAGTTCTATTACATGCAAAGACTCATTTGAAAATTACAGCTGTGGGTATCAAATGTAGGTAGATATTCTTAACCCAATAATAATTAATGCATAAGATCAGACAAACTGTGAGATTTGTCAAAGCTCTCAGGAGGAAACGCAATATTTGAGCCCACAAATTTAAGTCACAATTTTTTTAGAACAAACAACACCACATTGTTTACTTTTTGGAGGGATGGTAAAAGTATCGCAAAGGAAAACCTGGATATTTTGCCAAAGCATTTGTTTATATTTAGTAGCTATTTAGTAATCCCAGAATGCCTGTGACAAGGCCCAAATTTAAGTTCATCTGACCAAGAAAGAGCATCAGGGCTGGTGACATATCTAAGCAGTAGAGTGCATGCCTGGGTTCGATACCCAGTACCACCAAAAAGAAAAAAAAAAGGAAGGAAGGAAGGAAGATAGATTGATTTGTGGTTGTAAAATTACATTTAACAGAAAATTAGAGATCTCACCTTATGCCCAGCCACATCCTAGGTGACAAGGATACAGAAAAGAAAGACAAATATGACCAGCTCCTACATTCAAAGATAATAGCACTTCGTAATTGTTGGTAAAAATTAAACTATTAGCATCCCCAAAAGGTCACCAAAACTGCACATAAAATAAGAAGCAGTGCTACCTGTTTTTCAACATAGAGAATTTAATATAGACTTTATTATTATTATTTTATTGATTGATTGATTTTTGTTGTACTGGAGATTGAACCCAGGAACATTCTATCCCTGAGGTAAGTCCCCAACCCTTTTATAAAAATTTTTATTGGAGATTTAGTCTTGCTAAGTTTCCCAGGCTTTCCTTAAACTTGCAATCTTTCTGATTCTGCCCTTGGAGTCTCTAGGATTTCAGGCATGTGTACTCCACTGGATAAGGATTTTAAACAAACAATTAGTGAACTGATGTGTAGCTCAGTGGTAGAGAAGATGCTTAGCATACACAAGGCCCTGACTTAGATCCCCCAACACATAAAAAAAAAATGAATGAATGAATATATAAATAAATAAAATTTACAGAAGTAGGTTGATAAACTTTGAACAAATATTGAAGTTTGGTTCATAATATGTATATTGTATAGTTAAGTATCCTAATCTTTGTAATTTACGCTAAAATTCATGAAAAATAAAATGCTTTAATGAAAAAAAATAAAATGCTTTAATGGGTACATGAACACGTATATGATAAAGCAAATATATTAATGTTAAGAGTATAATTTATATGGTAGATATAAGAAATTCCTGTAACTTTTCTGAATGTTTGAAAACTTTCATACTAATCAGTTGGAGAGAAAAGCACATTTCAAAAGCTGTGAATTTCTAAAAAAAAAAATTCATGACATGAATTTTTCATGTCATGGTTAATAGCACTCAGTAAACTCAAATGGGGGCCTGGGGGTATAGCTCAGTGGTAGAACACTTATATATCATGTGCAGGGCCCTGATTCTATTCCCAGCACCACAGAAGGGATAAAACATAATGAAATGTTTTTAATAATTGGGTTTGAGGCTTTTCTAGTGTTTTTTAACCTTACTTCACCTTACTCAACCTTGGTGGAATGTAGAGGAATTAGGTTGTCTTTTAATGATCCAATTCATCCTTTTCTCCAGCAAATGAATGATCCCTCCTTAAAAAAAAGACATATTTTCTCTTCTGCTGTCAATTACTAAGCTGCTGCCATCCAAATCCACTCTTACTTCTGAACTTGCTCCTGGACAACGGGTCTTTGAACCCACTTCTTGGTGAATGCCCAAGTTGAATCGAAAACTACAGGTCTGAAATTCAACTCTTCTTCTTGCATATTTCTTCCTCTTTTATTTATTTTTTTTTCAGAAAAGTGTCACAATCATTCCAGTTGCCCAAACCAGAGTACTGGCTGACTCCTTCTTTTCCCGCAGCCCCCACAATTTGCCAGTCCCAGAGATTTCTCTATTCTTCCTCCTTATTATCTCAGATCCATTCATGTCTCCCATCCCAAATGTCACTTCTCTTACTTCTCTCCCACCCCCACTTCCAACTCCCATCAGTTCTGTCCCATTATCACCAATGCCTCTCAACTGTGATTTTGCTCCCCAGGAGACATTTGGAATTGTCTGGAGATATTTTTTTATTTGTTTTAATGAGTTATACATGACAGTAGAATGCACTTATATACTTTGATGTATCATACATAGATGGATTCTGGAGATATTTTTTAGTTGTCAAAATGGAGGAAGGATGCTGCTAAATATAATGCATAGATCAGCCCCTACCTTCAATGCAAAGTGATCCAGCCCAAAATGTCAACAATTCTGTTGTTGAAAACACTTGCTTTATCATAAAGTCACTCATGGGAATAAGTAATAAGGTTTGCAGTTAATAATTGTTTATTAAATGAATAAAAGGATGAAGAAACTAAAATTGTATCTTCCAGTTGATCAAACTGATTCAGAAACTTGAAGGCAGAAACTAACAGGACAAATAAGATTTTAAGCACTATATCTACAGTACCAAATTTCTTATACAAGGAATTAACTCTTGTCTAAGACATTTGAAGTTCCGTGAATCTGAGGCAAGAGATAGAAATAAGGGCCTCAGAGAACGAGATCCCACCACACCAAATTAAAACTCTAGGTTTGTAAGGGTAAAAGAAATTGAAGTTAAAGCGTAAAAGTTAAAGGGTAAAAGACCAGGTGTTGTAAAAGTTTCTAAGCTGCAAGGTCTGAGTTAAAATGTAAAGGAGGTATTGTTAGGTTTCTATGCTACCTGCAAAACCTGAAATTTCTGTAGCTGTTAAGACAATGCTTAGAACCGCCCAGTAAACATTTCCCCTGATTGTCTGGTTGTTTAATAACTGAAGGGGTCTGTGTGGTTGCACGTAGGCCTTGCAGGGCCTGAACCAATCAGTCTGAATGTGTACTCTCCTTAGGAATGACCTATCACTCCAGCCTGACCTGTTCCTGCCAATGAATGAACTAATCATGTTTAGGAGTTGTTGTTCAATTTTCCCGCGCCTCATGATGATTTGTTCTGATGTATACAAAGCCCTCCGCCCTCCCCAAAAAGTGTACTTAAGCAGTGCTCAGCCCCTGCTCGGGGCTCTGGGCTGCTTTCCCTTCTTGAGTGGGCACGGAGCCCCAGCATGCTGGTTCAATAAATCCCCTTCTGCCAATTGCATGAGTGGTCATTTGGTGGTC